AGTTTTTGTAAGAAAAATATCCATATTTCAAATGTAATAAACACTTTTTTTTTCTCACTTCCGCTCAGTGCCGCATTAAGCCTTTGTGAAAGTACACTCTTAACATCAGTCAGTCAAGCATTATAATAAGATTATCAAGTATTGTTTAATAATAGAAGTTTAATTTAAATGTAAGTACATAGTTGTTAAGGCCACTTAATATAAAGTGGGTCCGTTTAGTAATTAGAATTAAAACTTGGAAACTATGTATGAATGCAAATTAGTCATTTTAACTGAACTTAGGACTGGTGGTGGTGCTTTTTTTTGGTCATTCAGGGGAAGAAAACTAAAAATGGGGTTTGGGGGGGGATGGGAAAAAACGAACAATAATACTGATAAGATAATAATAATAATAATAATATTATACGAATTCTACTAAGAACAATATAAAACGCACCAAGGATTAATGAGCTGCTGGATTCATGAATATTAATCATTGTTAGCCCTTAGACAGGGCACACGATCGCTGGAAGGCTATATTCAAGAGTATTTAGCCATTGCTCATTATTCAGATCTGCCGGACTGTGTACTGTTAGACTTTTTTTTGCGAGGGTATCAATGAACCTTTGAAAACATTATTAATCCATGAAGGTCCCCGTTCTTCTGCTCCACCGTGGTAGTCTGCTGTTTGGCTTTGGGGGTCTTCTGCTCTACCTGCTCTGCCGTGGTGGTCTGCTGTCTGGCTCTGGTGGTTTTCTGCTCCGTCTGCTCCGGACTGGTGGTCTTCTGCTCTGCCGGAGGGATCTTCGGCCCCGTCTGCTCTGGTGGTCTTCAGCCCTACCTGTACTGCCGGCTCCGCCCTGGCTTTCTGCTCCGCCGGTCCTGCCTCAGTCCCCGGTCTCTCCACTTCCACGGTGGTCTTCTGCCCCGCCGTGGTGGTCTACTGTCTGGCTCTGGTGATCCTCCGCTCTGCCGTGGTGGTCTGCTGTCTGGCTCTGGTGGTCTTCTGCTCCACCGTGGTGGTCTGCTGTCTGGCTCTGGTGGTTTTCTGCTCCGTCTGCTCCGGACTGGTGGTCTTCTGCTCTGCCGGAGGGATCTTCGGCCCCGTCTGCTCTGGTGGTCTTCAGCCCTACCTGTACTGCCGGCTCCGCCCTGGCTTTCTGCTCCGCCGGTCCTGCCTCAGTCCCCGGTCTCTCCACTTCCACGATTCAAACAATGCTTTGGGAAAATAATAATTTATTTATTTGTATGGTCTACTCTAGGTGGTCATACGGCGTATGCCTGCAAATACGGGACAAACTGATGCCTTAAATACGAGACGATTCCGTATTATACGGAACGGTTGGCAACCCTATATAAATTGACTCGGGGGGGCCCCCTAGTGTTCGGGGCCCTGGGCTGCAGCCCATGTTGCCCATTAGGATAACGCGGCCCTGCTTCCGCTGACTGTAGTACGCGGAAGACGTTCTGGCGGATGACGTCTGCTAAATGCTTAAATGTAAAATTTCATGAATTCAGCACACAAATCAGAGTTGTCAGCCATTAGGAGGTCAATATTACCTATAAATAATTGTATATGATTGTTTTTGGTTGTTGGTCAATTTACAGTGAAAAATGGTAATGAAAATTGAGCTGTATGATGGTCAAGGAGGCTGGATGAAATCCACACCCACAACCCCACAATGTGACAATGACACTGTAATGCTTTAGCCCGTTATCTCTGTTATCTCTCTGCTTAGAACTGTATTGTTGGTGTTGATGCTTTAAATGTCTAAATGTTTTGATGTCTGTTGGTTTATGCCATTAAACTAGGGTTATCCTGTATTTGTCTTTTCGACTTAGACCTGATGACAATGAAGGAGGAGAGTCGAGATCTGAATGAAATGGCAGAGAACGATATTAAACATCATGATTTCATAACTGGAGAAAAATCTTTTAGTTGTTTGCAGACCGAAAAGACTTCCTCTCAAAAAAGAGCTCAGAAGACTGGAACTACAAGTCATTTCATCTGCCAACAGTGTGGAAAGAGTTTTAGAAAAAACGGAAACCTTAAAGTCCACATGAGAATTCACACTGGAGAGAAGCCATTTGTATGTGGTCAATGTGGAAAACGTTTCCCACATAAAGCAACCTTTTATAGTCATATGAGAATTCACACTGGAGAGAAGCCTTACACCTGCAAATTGTGTGGAAAAACCTTGAATCAAAAAGGAAAACTCAAGATTCACATGAGAGTTCACACTGGAGAGAAACCTTTCACCTGTGATCAGTGTGGAAAGAGTTTTAGAAAAAACGGAAACCTTAAAGTCCACATGAGAAATCACACTGGAGAGAAGCCTTACACCTGCCAACAGTGTGGAAAGAGCTTCCCACGAATTGATAGTCTTAAGAGTCACATGAGAATTCACACTGGAGAGAAGCCATTTGTATGTGGTCAATGTGGAAAACGTTTCCCACATAAAGCAACCTTTTATAGTCATATGAGAATTCACACTGGAGAGAAGCCTTACACCTGCAAATTGTGTGGAAAAACCTTGAATCAAAAAGGAAAACTCAAGATTCACATGAGAGTTCACACTGGAGAGAAACCTTTCACCTGTGATCAGTGTGGAAAATGTTTCCCATATAAAGAAAGCCTTAATAAGCACATGAAGATCCACTTAAGAGAGAGCTGTTTTATATGCCATCAGTGTGGAACCAGTTTCACAGACAGGAATCACCTTAAGAGGCACATAAGGACTCACATTGGACATGAGTCTTTTATGTGTTATGACTGTGGAAAGATTTTTATAAAAAAAGCAAACCTCAAGACTCACATGAGAGCTCACACTTGAGGGAAGATTTTCACCTGCCAACAGTGTAGACAGAGTTTCAGACATAAAACAAACTTACTACCAGTGGTGTGCGGTGGTGTTCTGAAACGAGGAGGCAAAGTCAGACTTTTACTCAAGTTGTTTTGGAAATGGTGACTTGTAACGTGTAGTGGAGTCATTTTCACTGTAAGGTATCTGTACTTTTACTCAAGTATGGTTTTTAGGTACTCTTTACACCTCTGTTATCCACTAAAGACGTGGCTGATAACCCCCCTCACCAACCCATAAACTGACTGAGAGCACAGATACAATGATGCCTTGGTCAGTTGTAGAGCGGGCGATTGGGCAGCTGAAACGTCAGTAGCGCTGCCTTGACAGGACCAGGGGGATGCTGTTATACCGCCCTGAGAAGGTGTGCCGCATCGTGCTGGCCTGTGGTGTGCTGCACAATGTCGCGCACAGGCACGGCATACCACTTGGTGAGGTGGTGGCACCGCCAGATGACCCAGACCCAGGACCAGTGTATGTGCAGTTCAACCAACAAGCCATTCAGGCCCGTCAACATGTGATTACGACAATATAAATGGTAATCAGTCATTCTATAATTCGGGGTACATTTGGAATTTGACAATGTGAAGAAAAAAGTTGTCCTTTTTCCCAAAAACCCAAACATGAACTTACATAAAACACTTAAAATCAAGTACTTATTCTTCAGGGATACCTGGTTTTGGGATTTTTTTTATTTTTATTTTTTTGTTCAAAAAGCAGATGTTAGATATATTCCGGTCAACTATGTTACTGACAAAATAAGTATTTGTTCATAGCTTGGAAAAATACCTAGAATTTAAATAGTGAACTGATTGACAGATTCTGTATCCACTTACCAAAATAAAAAAAGTTGATCATTAATACTTTTTGGAAAAAATATTTAGAGGCATAATAGATCTCTATTTTCACAAAAGTAGTTAAATGGTCATCACATTTTCTCAAATAAGTCAAATTTGTATATGCTGTATTGAAAGAAAATACCTTGAGGGACAAAGGACACGGTGGGTAATGTCTTAACACTAAACATGTTCTACAGTAGGCAACTGAGTATTTTTGAAAATGATAAACTCATCAGTAACACAGTTGATCATATGGAAACTTAGTTGACAAAGGTAACAGTTTACTGGACATGAGAAAGTAGAGAAATGACTAAGAAACAACAGATCACAGGCTATACTTACAACATTTTTTTTTAAAATTTGGTATTGAACAAGTTTGCAGCTGGATACTGAACAGGTTCTAGTTATTGAACAAATATGCATACACTGCAGGTGTTTAGTGAACAGGTTCTAGTTTGCACCCACTTAAATTGTTTATTGAATAAGTTCTTGAATGAAGCAATGTCCATTTGTAGTGTTCATTGAAAAGTCTTGGGGGGAAAAATAGAGCTAACATTCTGCTCTGCTGCTTGACTTCCAGTAAGAATGTTTCCTACGCTTCTCTCTTTCTGTCAAGTCTGCTGCTACCTTGACTTTCCCTTGCGTTGCCTGGGTTGCGTACGTATATGTGGGGCGGAGCTATCAAAATAGGGGCAAGACCCTTTTGGGGTAGGGGCGTGTTTGTTTTGGTGATTTCAAATATCAACATTGGCTACCAGAAATCCCTTACTCTGCCTTTAACTCTCTCTCCATTTTTGACGGCCCTTTAACAAAAAAGCCTCCGTCTTCACAGGATCAGAATCTCGCCGAGCCTGGTAACACCGCTGTTTTCTGCGGCAGATAATCTTGGCATTTTCCTGGGACACACAACGATTTTTATCTTTAAATCTTATATTTGCCAAATTACTGTTCTAAATGACTGCTCATCTAGTGTTGAGTAACTCCTTTACATTTATCTTACAAATAGTATACTTTTAAATTGTTTGTAAATAATACTCTAACTTTACAGAGTTATTGAACAGAACTAAACACCGAACTGACCTTAACTGAACAATGACACTATTGCTTTTTTTTTTGTTTTAAATGATCTCTGTAGCATCACTAAATCATTATGTTCTTGTTTATCATCACTGTAAAGCTGCTTTGAAACATCTATATTGTATAAAGTACAATATAAATAAAGGTGATCTGTAGGAACTAGGGCTGCAAAACGATTAATCACGATTAATTGATTCTAAATAAAAGTTTACGTTTACATACTATATATGTGTACTTTATTATGTATATATAAATACACACTGTACATGTCACGGTATGTGGTTGTAGATGCGTACGACGAAGGAGTAAACGTTTATGGTCTTTAATTCCAACTTCAACATAAAGAAAAGGAGAGCTAAATAGCATCAACATACATTAAATGAACATCAATCCAGGACCAAGAACAGACAGAAACTGAAGGCTTATAAAGACAGGGAAACAAAGGAGCAAACGAGATAATTAATAAACACAGGTGAACAGAATGAACTAATCAGGGGGACTAAGGGAAACTAGGTCAAAGAAGGTAGAACAGAAACACAGGAAAATCTAAACCAGAACAGAACATGAACGTGACATATCGCCCCTCTCCCGGAAGGTGCGTCCCGCGCCGTAACAGTTACAACGGGGGGGCGCCCTGGAGGCTGGTGCAGGGCAGGAACTTTTGATTGGATTTTGATTATGATTTCACTTTTTTAAGTTTAGTATGTAATGTTGCTGTTTGAGCATAAAAAACATCTGCAAAGTTACGATGCTCAAAGTTCAATGCAAAGGGAGATATTGTCTTTTACAGAATTGCTGATTGACCACCCCTTTAAAGTAAATATGTTAGGTGAAAGAGGTTCAGAGGACAAAGAGTTTGAGAATGTCTGCAAATAAGAAAAAAAACGAGAATTTGTGCATTTGTCAAGTTTGAAAGACAAAAGCCTTTCAATAATACATAATAATACATGGTTAAATAACCTACTGAGTGATCATTCAAATAAAAATGAATGCGTTCATCAGTAGTTGATGCAATGTTGAAACACTTCTTAAACCTGAAATGATTTTTGTAAATCCATTGGTCAAATGCTGTGTAGCCACCGGACTAATGACTGATCTCTGTGCGAATGTCCACAAAACTGGAAGACTTTCTGAGTGTATATAAGTGGTAGACTATTTTAGGAAGGAACATTTAAAAGATAAAAAATAATATGTAATCATGTAATCTATAAAAAAAAAAAGCAACTGTACTCTGATTAAGAGTATTTTAAAATGTAACTTACTCTGATTACAAGTGCTTAATTTTTGGAATCTGATTATGTAGCCTAATCCAGATTACATGTAATCAGTTACTACCAAGCTCTAGGCTATAGGCCTATAACGTTCACACGGGAACCATCATTCTGACTGACAACAGGAGAACAACAGAGATATTAAAATACATACTCTTCTGAGTTTTATAATGTAGTCTTTTGTTTTATTAAAATTAAAAATGATTGATATCTCAAAAAAACATGCACTTGTGCGCGGCACGAGCTCCTGTGCACTCGCACACAAGAATGCAACACAAGATTTACATAAATGTAATTACATGCTATTTTGGTTTGTTTCTCACCAAACCTTACAGTATACCTTCAGAACGTTTGGAATATAGCCTACGCCACGAGATGCATATGATTATTTTATGACAGATTTGCATCCGCTTAAAGAATGAAAAGTGAAAGTCACCATTCTCTGCCATTAAATGGGTAAGTGCGAGCAGGACATTTTTTGTGTGTGTGTTTCGAAAAAAAGAAGGTAGGCCTAATAAGCCTTTAGAACAACATCTGACTAGTTACCCTAGTTAAATAACCTGCGTGATTCGCCATAGACATAAACAGAGAGAAGTAGCTCCGGCTACAATGTTCTTCCGCAAGACGCACGCAGTTCTGTTTATTAACCGCTAGAGCACCAAAAGTTACGGACTGCAGCTTTAATATTGAGTATTAGTTGATGTTCACTTGGATTTGTTTCCAAGGGAAATAATTTAATACGTTGTCATTTATAGTCATATGGTAAAATGTATATTTTTATTTATGTACATTCAAAATGTCGTGCCTTTGAAAAATAAAGGAAACAACAGAATGCGCTGCTTTAGCGCGTCTCGGTCTCCTTGAACATCGTATATCACAAACATGAACCAATACACAGGGAAATGATGAATAATTTATTTCTATTGTGTGAATAATATGCAATCATGTCATCTATAAAAAAGTAATTGTAGTCTGATTAAGAGTATTTTAAAATGTAACTTACTCTGATTACAAGTGCTTAATTTTTGGAATCTGATTATGTAGCCTAATCCAGATTACACGTAATCAGTTACTACCAAGCTCTGGGTAGGCTATATAACAGGCCTAAAACGTTCACACAGGAACTATCATTCTGACTGACAACAGGAGAACAACAGAGATATTAAAATACATACTCTTCTGAGTTTTATAATGTAGTCTTTTGTTTTATTAAAATTAAAAATGATTGATATCTCAAAAGAACATGCACTTGTGCGCGGCGCAAGCTCCTGTGCGCTCGCACACAGGAATGCAACACAAGATTTACATAAATATAATTACTTGCCATTTTGGTTTGTTTCTCACCAAACCTTACAATATACCTTCAGAACGTTTGGAATATAGCCTACGCCACGAGATGCATATGATTATTTTATGACAGATTTGCATCCGCTTAAAGAATGAAAAGTGAAAGTCACCATTCTCTGCCATTAAATGGGTAAGTGCGAGCAGGACATTTTTTGTGTGTGTGTTTCGAAAAAAAGAAGGTAGGCCTAATAAGCCTTTAGAACAACATCTGACTAGTTACCCTAGTTAAATAAAGCAGACAAATGCGACTACTGTCAAACGCAGACCAGTATTGAAGTGCACAGGAAATATGCAGCAGTCTATTTAATTAATATTGAGTATTAGTTGATGTTCACTTGGATTTGTTCCTCAAGAGGGGAAATAATTTAATACGTTGTCATTTATAGTCATATGGTAAAATGTATATTTTTATTTATGTACATTCAAAATGTCGTGCCTT